CTTAGATTAATAAGCGCCCTTCACTAACGCCGCACGCCAAGGCGAGTATACGAACGCGAATATCAACGACGACGGAAATCTATGTGTGTTCGTTCCACGCTCACCGCACCATGAAGGAATATATTAGAGAGCGTAGCGATAGCGAGAGAGTCTCTGCTATGGGAATGATGTTGCGCCAGCAACTTGGTAGAGTTTTGGTAGCGTTTGCCTCTAAGGACTTTGTGAGAATTGAAGTAGCATTTGGGCCAAGTAGAATTGCAATATCAATTATCAAACACACAAGCAAACACAAACATATATAGGCAAGTGTAATGAATGTGAATTCATTACTGTAGAGGCTACTCCTAGCGAGGACAGCCCGAACTGTTCGCGTCAGTTTGGGTTCGGCCTACACTTCGGCCCGAACCACTTCCGAGTCGCCCTGCACCAATCGCGACACTTCCAACCCATCCACGTCCCGAGGTCCTCGCCTGCCACGGTTTCGACCCTATAAATGCTTGCTTCTTTATCATTCTCGTCATTCTGGATTCGACATCCTTTTTATAAAGTCTTCCGCGCACTCTTCTTAGTACAACTCATAACACTTGGTATCAGAGCCTAAGTTCCTAGGTCCCCCGTTTTTTAGAGTGTATTACCCCTCGGGGGGGGGACAGGGAAGGATGCCGTGGTGACAGGAGCAGCGCAGTAGCCGGCCAGGAGAACGGATAGTTGCTCCTAGCGGCCGTGTTTTTACGGGCGCTCCTGCTGCACCGACGGATCCTTGCCCTCGACGGTCGAGATGGACCGTGGCCTCCCTCCCCCCGGGTGGCGGACAGCTTTTGCTGTCGTCGCATTTAATTGCGTGAGTAAAATTCATCGTTTCCGTTAATCTCGGCGCTGTTTTTATGCGGCAGTTGGCATCAGGACGGTTGTCGTCACTGCATGCGCGAGATTCTCGGAGCAGCTGGTCGTGCGAGTTGAAGTTTTCACGTGGTCGTCAACTGCGCACGAAGAAATCGGAGTTAATGCGTGCGGCAAGTGGCGTCAGGCGTTTTCGTCAAGTTGCGCACGAGAATCACGGAGGTCTTCGGCACGTTGTGAGCATCGTCACTGTGCTCGAAGATTTCGGGTGGCTTCACGGCAGAAACGACAGCTGGCCGGACAGGCCAGGCGCATAGTGATTTGCGTCGGAAAATGCAAACGGCGAGGAGAGACGGCATGACGACTGCCCGAAGAAAGCGGGGGTCTACCGTCGTTCCGCCCGGGTGTGGCCGGTGTGGCTGCAGGAGGGTGCGTCTTTGGCGTTTTCGGCAGGTGCGGCACAGTGTGGGACGGAAGTTGTTTTCAAACCGCCGAAAAGTTCGGAAAAGGCCGCCTACGACTAGACTGTCTACGTTAGGGTCACTTCTGCGCCTGCAACAAGGTCGGCCGAAATTTTCGGAGCAACAGCAGCAGCCGACAGTGTACTTCATGCGGCACAGGTTCCCCCTGATCAAGGGAAGTTGCGCCGCAGACAGGGCAGTACACCGACGGGACAACGGTTTATAGCAGCGTCTAGACCCGCGAATTTCGCCTGGTCTACCGGTCACAATAAACGGAGTTGCGACAAATACGGGTCTGGCGAGAGAAACGGATTCCAAGCTTCAGGAGGGGCGAAAACGACCTACTGCGACGACTTTTTGCTGAGGGCCGAGTTTTGCGGCTAAGCGGCGGTAGCAGAAGGAGCTCCCTACCGGCCAAAGTCTACCGACGTTTCACATACCTCACGCCCAGAAGGCCTCGAAGGCAAGGAGTAAGTCCTATTGGCCACTGGATCCAAAGGTGGGGCCCTGTGTTTAGCCCTGTGCTGGCTAAAAAGCGCGGTTATTGCGCCAGTTCGACAGCTGGGCGTACAAGAAATTTTCTGGGAGCGACACTGTTTCGGCCCCGACAAAACCGGACCATCGGCAGCAGTTACCCCGCCGAAAAAGCCGGAGCTGAAGCAGTTGGTGCAGCTGTCGGAGTTTCTCCTGATTCAACGGTCTACCCGACGGCGGTGTAGCGGCGAAGAAGGGATTTCCGAAGCTGAGGAGTTTTAAACACGATAGACGCGGTGGGCAGCGAAGCGGCCGGTCCGACTGTTTGATCCGATAAACATGACCCGGCTACGATAGCGTTCGCGCCTTCACCGAATGTCAGAAAAATCGCGGGCAACAAGGAGTTATACCTCATCCGACAAAAGCGAACGCTGGGTGAACGGCGGCAAGCGAAATTGTCGGGGGGTGAAGACACAAAACAAATGGAGGGAAATTTGTGGGTGCTCCAGCAGATCTCCAGAGTGAAAGGTTGAGCCCGTACACCAATCCACCGCGAATTTCGGAGTCTATTCAGTAGACCCCCGAAAGGGTTTGATATTGTTACATAGAGGCGCGGCGAGCGGTGTATCGCCAAGGATACCTGGGATTCGCTAAGTAATTTCGACGGGTGCGAAGACGGGTGAACGTCGGAGTACCAGGGTTAACGGCGGAAGCGTCGGGGTTACGCGGCGGAAAATACTTCGGGACTGCTTCAACAACCATGATTTTCAGGGTTTTATTCCAACGGTGGGAGACGGGTGAACGTCTGCTCGCCAGCTGTTTCAGCGGTTTACGGTGTACTTCGAAGCCATCTGGGGAAATTCTACAGCGAGATCTGCGGCGTTGATGCGGGCTAGGTTCCGTGATATTCGGTCCCGGTAGACCCATAGTTCTGGGTTCCGCACAAAAAGCACCTCCTGTTGGTGGGTGGCTAGTGTGGTTAATCGCAGGAAATAAAAATGGCGACGGGTGGGCACGCTAGATACACCGGTTCTTCAAGGGGATAACCTGCAGGTGACCAAGACGTACGAGAAATTTCAACACCGACACTTACGGGTTTCAGCAGCAGTACTGGGAGCTGGGTCTTTACAAGAGTTCGGCGGTGACGGCCGACAATTTCGCGACAACGGTGGAGTTGCAGCGGCGCTGCGTTAAGCGCGCGAAAACTGCCGTGGTGAACTTCATGGTGGCAAAATCTGCAGAGTTTCAGGGGTACCAGCCGCAACACTGGTGAAATGTATCACAACAGGTGGGGGGAGGAAGGACAGCTTTTTCGCCTCTGCCCCGAAGTCTTCGGCGAGTCACGACAACAGCCGAGGTAGCTGACGCCATCGACAGTTCGAGTTTTCAACTTTGAAAAATATTTGCGAGGTCAGGGGGAAGAGCAGCAGCTGTTTTCGTCCCTGCCCGGGAGTTTTCGGAGCAACGCGACAAAGGCATCGGCGAGTCTGGACAAAACTGCCGAGGGCGCCGACAGCTGGAACACTACAGCGAAGATTTTCGCCACAGCAACCAGCCAAACGGCAACAGCAATTCGGGATTGCAGCAGCTGCCAACTGGAGATTGGGCAGCAATAAAGTGATTCGATACTGCCACGCGGGGGATTACGAGGTGGCAGTCACGAGAGATGCTGCAGCAACAATCGCGACAACAAGACAACAAGAAGATTTTCTTAATGCCGAGCCCCTGCAAAAACGATATTCTTTCGAAGGGACTTCGACAGAGTTTACCCTGGGCATTTTCGGGGTTTTCGACAGTGAAGATTTCGCCACCGACCGCAATTTCGACTACACAGCGGCTGAATTTCAGGCGGGAGGTCATAACACTTGGTATTCTGTCCTACCCTCGGCGTCAGGGGGGTTGTGGTTTTGTGCCCGCGCAGCTGTACACATTTTGGTGGGCAGCAGTTCTCTTCCAAGGGGGGGGGGGGGGAGAAAGAGTGCTCACGCACTGTTGTTGGCAGGCCTCTGACATTTCGCCAGTTATTTCTGACAGTTCGTCTGACACACCCAGCACGACGGACGCACGCGATGGCTTCATCGGCATCGACGGCACCAGATTCATCGATCTCTGACAACGCGTCAGAATCCCCGCCGACATGACATTCACCAGAACCATCCGATACACATCCGCGACATCGACGGTCTTCCTTCGTCGAACGATTTGAGATCGACATTCGCTTTCAACTGCCCGATTGACATCGGCAGTATCAACGGCTGACATCCCAACTCTTTGAAATTCGCCTGGTCAACGCGCTCAGCCACGCGTCAACTCGAGAGTCAACATGCTTCCGCACCGTCAGATCAGTTTCAACCGAGATCTGCAGTTTTCACGCTACTGCAAGACTCGCCTACGTATAAGGGCACCTTATTTAGAAGGCGGGAGAGTGTAATGAATGTGAATTCATTACTGTAGAGGCTACTCCTAGCGAGGACAGCCCGAACTGTTCGCGTCAGTTTGGGTTCGGCCTACACTTCGGCCCGAACCACTTCCGAGTCGCCCCGCACCAATCGCGACACTTCCAACCCATCCACGTCCCGAGGTCCTCGCCTGCCACGGTTTCGACCCTATAAATGCTTGCTTCTTTATCATTCTCGTCATTCTGGATTCGACATCCTTTTTATAAAGTCTTCCGCGCACTCTTCTTAGTACAACTCATAACAGCAAGCAAGAGTTGCACAATTGTTGCGTGGCGCTGCGAGTAACCCAACCCACACGAAAGTGCTGTGCAGGTGGGTGAACGCGCCCCGCACATTTCCAACCCAACTCGGCACCGGAATGTCTCACCGTGCACGCTACTCCTGCCAACATAGCAAGTGAGCAGCGTGCCTCACAAGCAAGACACCTACGACCCCCAAGACTCGTCATTCCTAGCACCGATTCCGCCGAGTTCGCTGCAGTAGCTCACAGTCACCCGTAGTCACTAATGACCGCCACCGAACTCGTGCGTCGGTGCCGAGTAGACTCAGTCGTTAGGCGCCGACCTGCCAAGTCAAAGGTCATCGAGGGCCCTTGCTGTCGTAGGGCCCTCTAACACCTGCCGCGCCATCCCCCCTCAGAATCGCCGCAGCGCCCACGCTCGTTCCACCAACCCCCCTCCGCCACCCCCTTCAGTCCCCTGCCTGTTTCCGCGCGCAGGCGTGCAGCGCGCAGCAGAAGCGGAGCGGAGCGGCGCAGCCGGGGTCGATGCTGGCGGGGTTCGAATACCCGGAGCACGAGTGCGGGGCGGCGTGGCGAGACGAGTACGCGCAACTGTACGCGCGCATCCGAGCCGCCAGCAGAGACGCGTGGCGGGCGCGACAGCCGCCAGGTTCTATGCAAGAAGTATAGGAGCGTCGCCGGACGGCGGGGCGGAGCGCGTGATGATGCGCCGGCTTTAAGTGATGATGCGCGAGAAACGACCGTTCCGGAGGCACACTCATGGTTGCGCGGACGGGGAGAGGCAGGATGCAAGCGCGTAAGGGTGCGAGTTCACAAACGCACCACTCCGCCCTCTGCTCCCCGTTCCTCCTCTGCAGCCACCCCGCCGCCTCCGCCCGCCGCGCCGCCGGTGCCTCCGCCATCCGCGCCGCCGCCACAGCCAGCTGCGCCGCGCAGGCGCCTGGCGGACGGCTCTCCCCCCGGCGCGGAGCCGGGAGGCGCGGATACAGCGGACGCCGCGGTGCGGTTCCTGACGTACGACTGGTACGGGTCGTGCGGCGGGCTGGGCGACTATCTGATCGGGCTCGTGTCGCTCTTCCCCGCCGCGCTGCTCGACCGCCGCGCGCTGCTCGTCGCTCAGCCGTGCATGCACGCCGCGTTCCGCTCGCCGCACATCGACACCGCGCTCTCCCCCGACGTGCCCATGGGGGGGCGGCCGCTGCTGCGCGCCACGCCGCCACCCCTGGACGCCGCCGCCCCCGCGCACGACGGCCCCGGCGACGAGCCGCAGCGCGTGGAGTGGCACGCTCCCCCGTGCGAGCGGCTGGAGGGCAACCTGGGCGCCGCGGGCCGAGACAGCAGCGCGGTGCCTTGCTTGGACCTGCCGCGGCACACGATTGAGATCGAGGCGCTGCAGCAGCTGAGCGCGCTGAGCAACTACCGCGTGCGCTACAACAAGGGGCTGTTGATCACCACGCTCCTGCACAACCAGGGGCCGTGGGCCGCCGCGCTGCGCCAGCTGGGCTTTAAGGTCGCGTACGGCTTCGGGTGCATCCTCTGGTTCCTCTTCAGGTCCGCCTCGCGTGCCCTGCGTTGAAATCACTTATGAGAAAACTTATGTGAGGGATTTGTAAGTCAGCTATGGTGAAGTGAAACCACTTATGAGAATTCTCAGAAAGTGATTTTAATGCTGCCGCCCTGCGCCAGCTGGGCTTTAAGGTCCTCAGCTCAACCAGGGGCGGTACGGCTTCGGGTGCATCCTCAGGTTCCTCTTCAGGTCCGAAGTGACTTTTGAGTCGACTCAAAGGTTGCGTATGGCTTCTGGTGCGTCCATATTGGAGTTGCTTTTGAGAATTCTCAAAAGCTGGGCTTTAAGGTCGTGTACGGCTTCGGGTGCATCCTCACGTCCTCCTCGCGTGCCCTGCGCCGCACACACACTCACACCCGCACGCTGCTGTGCCGTGCGCCCCGCGCCACAATTGTCAGTGGATGCTGGGATTGCGAGGTACTGTCCGCCACCGTCCACCCACTTGTATCCGCTTCTGTTCGTCGCCTTTCTTCTCCTCCTTCCCCACCCCCCACACTGCTCCTCCCTCTGTTTCCCTCCTCCCCTTGGCTCAGCCCGCGGCAGAGGTCTGGAATCTACTGGTGGGGATGGAGGAGCAGGCGTGGGGAGAGGGTGTGGCGCGCGTGGCCGTGCACGTGCAGAATGACGGCATGACGGCCCAGAACATGACGGCGCAGCAGCTGGAAGACCTGCTCGGCAAGGCCAACAGCACACTGCAATGCGCTCAGGTGCTGCTGGGGTATGCATGCAGGTGATGAGTCTGTTTTTGAGTCGCCTCAAAAGTGACGGCATGACGGCTCGGAATATGACGCAGCAGCAGCTGGACGACCTGGTCGTCAAGGCCAACAGCACACTGCAGTGCGCACAGGTGCTGGGGGGGGGGGGGGGGGGGGTATGCAGTGAGTATGTGTGTGCGGCTTGCTTGTGCCTTTTTAGTCGACTCAAAGATCGCCGGACTGGGAGGTGTGGCAGAATGACGGCATGACGGCATGACGGCTCAGAACATGACGCAGCAGCAGCTAGACGACCTGCCCGCCAAGGCCAACAGCACACTGCAGTGCGCACAGGTGCCGGGGGGAGGGGGGAGGGGGGGGAGGTAACGCACGCAGTAAGTGTGTGTGTGCGGTGCGGCTTGCATGTGCTTTGGCACTACACGTCACGTCGTGCATGTGCTTTGGCGCTACGTGTCACGTCATGCATGTGCGTCACTCACCATCACCTCGCCCTCCCCTTTCCTCTTGCCCCCTTCCCCCTCCAACTTCCTCTTTCCACGTCCTCTTTACCCGCCTCCCCTGAACGTGAAGTGGGTTCTCATCACTTGTGAGAATTCTCAAAAGCCATCTCCCTGTCCCCATGGCATGGCAGGCGGAGGAGGAGTACTGGTACCGAGCTGACCTTATGAGTCGACTCAAAAGTCACCTCAAAAGTCACCTCAAAAGTCACCTCAAAAGTCACCTCAAAAGTCACCTCAAAAGTCACCTCAAAAGTCACCTCAAAAGTCACCTCAAAAGTCAAAGTTGAAGTGGGTTCTCATCACCAACTCACACCTGCTCAAGCAAGCTCTCAAAGCCAAGTACCCACACAAGGTATGCACAAACACGCCTACACTCAGGCTCCGCCCGTCCGTCCCCACCCACTCCTGCCATCTGCCCCACCTTTTCTTCTTCAGTCAATCCACCTCTCTCTCGTCATGTATTTCTTTCCATTCCTCCACTCTCCTTCCCCGTTTGCTCTTGCCCTGCCACACACCTCCTGTTCCCCTCATGCACTGCACCTCCCCCCTGTGCGTGTGCTGCATGCACTGCCCACTGCCCCACTGCCCCTGGTCCACGCCTCGCCACCACGTGCACTGCCCGTGGGCACATGTGCCGTGCTGGGACTTGGGACTTGGGACCTGCCAGGTGGTGGCCACGGACTTCATTCCATGGCACTCCGCGCAAGCCACGGAGCACGAGCAGCACACAGACCTCGCATCGTAATATGAGCGTGACGTGGCGCTGCGTCGTTCTCCTCCTGTTCCCCTCGTTCATTGCACCTCCCCCCTGTGCCTGTGCTGCATACACTGCCCCTGGTCACATGTGCCGTGCTGGGACTTGGGACTTGGGACTTGCCAGGTGGTGGCCACGGACTTCATTCCATGGCACTCTGCCCAAGCCACACAGCACGAGCAGCACACAGACCTCGCACCGGATGAGCGTGACGCGGTGCTGCGAGGCCTGCAGCACTTCTGGGAAACGGTGGCGGAGTGGGTGCTCATAGCATCATCCCACTCCTTCATCATCCCGGCCTCGGGATTCTCTCGCACGGCTGCGCCCTACGCCCTGCGCCCACTCGACATCTACGTGCCTCCTCCTCTCAACCCTCCCAAAGCTGTTGAGAATGCTCAAAAGCCTCCTCCTCCTCCCAGCGCCTGCGACCCCGAGAAGCCCACAGCCATCGATCGCTTCGGAGTCACCTGGACTGGCATCTAGGCGCGCCCTCACTGCTTCCCACGAGCCCTCACTGCTTCCCACGAGCCCTCACTGCTGCCCACGAGCCCTCACTGCTGCCCACGAGCCCTCACTGCTGCCCAGGAGCCCTCACTGCTGCCCACAAGCCCTCACTGCTGCCCACGAGCCCTCACTGCTGCCCACGAGCCCTCACTGCTGCCCACGAGCCCTCACTGCTGCCTACGAGCCCTCACTGCTGCCCGCGAGCCCTCACTGCTGCCCACGAGCCCTCACTGCTGCCCGCGAGCCCTCACTGCTGCCCACGAGCCCTCGCTGCTGCCCGCGAGCCCTCACTGCTGCCCACGAGCCCTCACTGCTGCCCGCGAGCCCTCACTACTCCCCGCCACTGGCTCGTGGGGCCTGAAACACCTTTTGAGGCGCCGGAGGTTGCAGCGTGTATAGGGGGAGGTGGCGGGGGAGGTTGCAGCGTGTATAGGGGGAGGTGGCGGGGGTGGTTGCAGCGTGTATAGGGGGAGGTGGCGGGGGTGGTTGCAGCGTGTATAGGGGGAGGTGGCGGGGGTGGTTGCAGCGTGTATAGGGGGAGGTGGCGGGGGTGGTTGCAGCGTGTATAGGGGGAGGTGGCGGGGGTGGTTGCAGCGTGTATAGGGGGAGGTGGCGGGGGTGGTTGCAGCGTGTATAGGGGGAGGTGGCGGGGGTGGTTGCAGCGTGTATAGGGGGAGGTGGCGGGGGTGGTTGCAGCGTGTATAGGGGGAGGTGGCGGGGGAGGTTGCAGCGTGTATAGGGGGAGGTGGCGGGGGAGGTTGCAGCGTGTATAGGGGGAGGTGGCGGGGGTGGTTGCAGCGTGTATAGGGGGAGGTGGCGGGGGTGGTTGCAGCGTGTATAGGGGGAGGTGGCGGGGGTGGTTGCAGCGTGTATAGGGGGAGGTGGCGGGGGAGGTTGCAGCGTGTATAGGGGGAGGTGGCGGGGGTGGTTGCAGCGTGTATAGGGGGAGGTGGCGGGGGAGGTTGCAGCGTGTATAGGGGGAGGTGGCGGGGGAGGTTGCAGCGTGTATAGGGGGAGGTGGCGGGGGTGGTTGCAGCGTGTATAGGGGGAGGTGGCGGGGGTGGTTGCAGCGTGTATAGGGGGAGGTGGCGGGGGTGGTTGCAGCGTGTATAGGGGGAGGTGGCGGGGGTGGTTGCAGCGTGTATAGGGGGAGGTGGCGGGGGTGGTTGCAGCGTGTATAGGGGGAGGTGGCGGGGGAGGTTGCAGCGTGTATAGGGGGAGGTGGCGGGGGTGGTTGCAGCGTGTATAGGGGGAGGTGGCGGGGGTGGTTGCAGCGTGTATAGGGGGAGGTGGCGGGGGAGGTTGCAGCGTGTATAGGGGGAGGTGGCGGGGGAGGTTGCAGCGTGTATAGGGGGAGGTGGCGGGGGTGGTTGCAGCGTGTATAGGGGGAGGTGGCGGGGGTGGTTGCAGCGTGTATAGGGGGAGGTGGCGGGGGTGGTTGCAGCGTGTATAGGGGGAGGTGGCGGGGGTGGTTGCAGCGTGTATAGGGGGAGGTGGCGGGGGTGGTTGCAGCGTGTATAGGGGGAGGTGGCGGGGGAGGTTGCAGCGTGTATAGGGGGAGGTGGCGGGGGTGGTTGCAGCGTGTATAGGGGGAGGTGGCGGGGGTGGTTGCAGCGTGTATAGGGGGAGGTGGCGGGGGTGGTTGCAGCGTGTATAGGGGGAGGTGGCGGGGGAGGTTGCAGCGTGTATAGGGGGAGGTGGCGGGGGAGGTTGCAGCGTGTATAGGGGGAGGTGGCGGGGGAGGTTGCAGCGTGTATAGGGGGAGGTGGCGGGGGAGGTTGCAGCGTGTATAGGGGGAGGTGGCGGGGGTGGTTGCAGCGTGTATAGGGGGAGGTGGCGGGGGTGGTTGCAGCGTGTATAGGGGGAGGTGGCGGGGGTGGTTGCAGCGTGTATAGGGGGAGGTGGCGGGGGTGGTTGCAGCGTGTATAGGGGGAGGTGGCGGGGGAGGTTGCAGCGTGTATAGGGGGAGGTGGCGGGGGTGGTTGCAGCGTGTATAGGGGGAGGTGGCGGGGGTGGTTGCAGCGTGTATAGGGGGAGGTGGCGGGGGAGGTTGCAGCGTGTATAGGGGGAGGTGGCGGGGGAGGTTGCAGCGTGTATAGGGGGAGGTGGCGGGGGTGGTTGCAGCGTGTATAGGGGGAGGTGGCGGGGGTGGTTGCAGCGTGTATAGGGGGAGGTGGCGGGGGTGGTTGCAGCGTGTATAGGGGGAGGTGGCGGGGGTGGTTGCAGCGTGTATAGGGGGAGGTGGCGGGGGAGGTTGCAGCGTGTATAGGGGGAGGTGGCGGGGGTGGTTGCAGCGTGTATAGGGGGAGGTGGCGGGGGTGGTTGCAGCGTGTATAGGGGGAGGTGGCGGGGGAGGTTGCAGCGTGTATAGGGGGAGGTGGCGGGGGAGGTTGCAGCGTGTATAGGGGGAGGTGGCGGGGATGGTTGCAGCGTGTATAGGGGGAGGTGGCGGGGGTGGTTGCAGCGTGTATAGGGGGAGGTGGCGGGGGTGGTTGCAGCGTGTATAGGGGGAGGTGGCGGGGGTGGTTGCAGCGTGTATAGGGGGAGGTGGCGGGGGAGGTTGCAGCGTGTATAGGGGGAGGTGGCGGGGGTGGTTGCAGCGTGTATAGGGGGAGGTGGCGGGGGTGGTTGCAGCGTGTATAGGGGGAGGTGGCGGGGGTGGTTGCAGCGTGTATAGGGGGAGGTGGCGGGGGAGGTTGCAGCGTGTATAGGGGGAGGTGGCGGGGGTGGTTGCAGCGTGTATAGGGGGAGGTGGCGGGGGTGGTTGCAGCGTGTATAGGGGGAGGTGGCGGGGGTGGTTGCAGCGTGTATAGGGGGAGGTGGCGGGGGTGGTTGCAGCGTGTATAGGGGGAGGTGGCGGGGGTGGTTGCAGCGTGTATAGGGGGAGGTGGCGGGGGAGGTTGCAGCGTGTATAGGGGGAGGTGGCGGGGGTGGTTGCAGCGTGTATAGGGGGAGGTGGCGGGGGTGGTTGCAGCGTGTATAGGGGGAGGTGGCGGGGGTGGTTGCAGCGTGTATAGGGGGAGGTGGCGGGGGAGGTTGCAGCGTGTATAGGGGGAGGTGGCGGGGGAGGTTGCAGCGTGTATAGGGGGAGGTGGCGGGGGAGGTTGCAGCGTGTATAGGGGGAGGTGGCGGGGGAGGTTGCAGCGTGTATAGGGGGAGGTGGCGGGGGTGGTTGCAGCGTGTATAGGGGGAGGTGGCGGGGGTGGTTGCAGCGTGTATAGGGGGAGGTGGCGGGGGTGGTTGCAGCGTGTATAGGGGGAGGTGGCGGGGGTGGTTGCAGCGTGTATAGGGGGAGGTGGCGGGGGAGGTTGCAGCGTGTATAGGGGGAGGTGGCGGGGGAGGTTGCAGCGTGTATAGGGGGAGGTGGCGGGGGTGGTTGCAGCGTGTATAGGGGGAGGTGGCGGGGGTGGTTGCAGCGTGTATAGGGGGAGGTGGCGGGGGTGGTTGCAGCGTGTATAGGGGGAGGTGGCGGGGGTGGTTGCAGCGTGTATAGGGGGAGGTGGCGGGGGTGGTTGCAGCGTGTATAGGGGGAGGTGGCGGGGGTGGTTGCAGCGTGTATAGGGGGAGGTGGCGGGGGAGGTTGCAGTGTGTATAGGGGGAGGTGGCGGGGGAGGTTGCAGCGTGTTTAGGGGGAGGTGGCGGGGGTGGTTGCAGCGTGTATAGGGGGAGGTGGCGGGGGTGGTTGCAGCGTGTATAGGGGGAGGTGGCGGGGGTGGTTGCAGCGTGTATAGGGGGAGGTGGCGGGGGTGGTTGCAGCGTGTATAGGGGGAGGTGGCGGGGGTGGTTGCAGCGTGTATAGGGGGAGGTGGCGGGGGAGGTTGCAGCGTGTATAGGGGGAGGTGGCGGGGGTGGTTGCAGCGTGTATAGGGGGAGGTGGCGGGGGTGGTTGCAGCGTGTATAGGGGGAGGTGGCGGGGGTGGTTGCAGCGTGTATAGGGGGAGGTGGCGGGGGTGGTTGCAGCGTGTATAGGGGGAGGTGGCGGGGGTGGTTGCAGCGTGTATAGGGGGAGGTGGCGGGGGTGGTTGCAGGCACAGGCACGAGGGAGGGTGGGAGGGCGATGTGCTGCCTGTGACTCCGTTCCACGTCACCTTCCCACCCTCACTCGTGGGCAGCAGGCGCGCTGGTACGACTGCATGTATGGCGGACCCAAAAGACGTGGCAGCATGGAGGTGGTGGGCGCTCGCACAACCATGGTGAAATCACTTTTGAGGCGCCTCAAAAGACGTGGCGGCATGAGGTGGTGGGTGCTCGCACAACCATGGTGAAATCACTTTTGAGGCGCCTCAAAAGACGTGGCGGCATGGAGGTGGTGGGCGCTCGCACAACCATGGTGAAATCCATGCAGCTTTTACCCGCTGCCACCCTGCCACGCGTGCTGCCCTTTCAAGAGATGCTACATCTAAAAAACGTGTCAGCCATTTGGCGATTTACATCCATAAATCCTTATCCTTCCAAGTTAGCTAGATACACCCCTATTTAACGACCCAGGGGGCTATAAATCTGGGGGGTACATTAGCCGGGAAATATGGTACCAGTTTGCTCATTCTGGTGCGCCATCCCAGGTTAACCTTACAGAATTTGAGTGAGTAATTGTGCAAGAAGATTACAACAAAATAACAACACTTGATAAAAATATAAAAGTTTTGCTTAAGGCCATCGCACTCTGATGCTGTTGTAGAGAGAGATATACTCCTTGGCAGCCTTGTTCCAGCTGTTGTCTATGCTCATCACTGTAGACGTCAGCTGCTGCCACCACTCAGGGCCTGACATATGGCAGAAAGTTAGTGGGAGAAAGGTTTAGGGCAATGGAACAGGTGGCAAGGGGTGAATGAAACAGAAAGGTTGCAGGAAAATGACACACGTTTCAGTGCACACCTGTGCTTGCTCGTGGGTGGGGGGAGGAGAAGAGCATTTTGATGAGAGTGGGAAGCAACTTACATCTTTGTAATACTTGACAGACAGCACAAGAGTGAGAGAGAGGAGGGAATTAAGACATTTGTTGAGGCGCCTAAAGAAACCAACAGTGCTTTTAGAGGGGGGAAGAGGGGGAAGAAACTTACAGTCCTCCCTCTAGTACTAGACAGAGCGAGAGAGGGCTGAATAGCTTTTGAGAATTCTCAAAAGTGACTCAAAAGTGACTACTGAGCAATTTCAGAAGTGACTCACGGTCCTTGTAATACTTGACAGCGCGAGAGAGGGCTGAATCAAGTGCGTCCTCACCGATTCCATCAAACACAAATCTGCAGGCAAGGCATAGAAAAGAGTGAGCAACAGAGAAAGTGACGAGAAGGCCTGACTGCCTCCCTGCCGGAAAAAGAGCGTGCCACACATTATCCTATCACAGTGACTGCATGAGCTGTGTCCCCTTTTTAAGGAATCCTATACAAAACACGCTGCCCTTTGCATAGATATACGAGTACTGATGCCACTCACCCATTCGCTTTCTCTTTGTTTCCCCCATCGTCCACATCAAAGACTGTGTCGGCTAGTCCCCCTGTCCGTCTCACAACCGGCACCTGATGACATGAAGAAACAAGAAAAACACGAGAGAAGAGAACGGGTGAGAAAAGCCCTTTCACACGTCTCATGATAAGTCCTCAGAATTCCCCTATCCACCCTCTCCCTCCCCTCCCCAACCACCATGCATTGCCACACTCCTCATCCCCACCCCCCACTCACCGTGCCGTAGCGCATGCCGCTCATCTGGGTGAGTCCGCACGGCTAAACCATGGAGGGCACGAGCACCACCCACTTACTCTCTCGTACAGATGATTCCCTGGTCCCTTCTCCCTTACCTCTCCCACCCCCCACTCACCGTGCCGTAGCGCATGCCGATCATCTGGGTGAGACCACACGGCTCGAACATGGAGGGCACGAGGACCATATCCACCGCCGCAAACAGTTGATGAGCCAGGCTCTCACTGTCAACCACACTAAACGCGCAAGGTTAGCTGCTTATAACGAAGATACACCCATGGTTCAATGACACGGACGGAAGTATGCTGAACAAACGAGCAAACAGTTGGCTGCGTGAGCAGGAAACTTAGGTGGCACATCAGCAACATGACAAGGCATATGAGGTCTTTCTTAAAAAAAAAAAAATCTTCTTCGTCTATAAACTATGGCGAGTTACCTGTATGTAAGAACAAGGCGAACACTGCCTCCATCTTGAAACTGCAAGCATGACATGACATGATAAAGACCACACCACCAGAGAGAGCAACATACGAAAAAAGACGAAGAAGAAATGACAATGAAGTAAGCAAGTCAAGTGAAACAGTCCACTCACAAGTAAGAGCTACTCGTACTCCACACAAGTAAGAGTAGTTACAACCACCACTCACCTCCTCTGCGATCTAGACAAGGTCTCACTGCAATCGCACTTGGCACACCAGGATGTTTCTCAAACAACTTGTGAGGCAACCCACTCACCTCCTATGCGATCTTCACAAAACATCTGTCACTCGCCTTTGGTCCCATGATGCATGTGCCTTTGTCGTCTCAGCAGCAGGCCCACCCACTCACCTCCTACGCGAACCACTCAGCTATTTTCACAAAATCGCCCGGCACTCGGCCATCGTGCGACGGCCATTCATTGAAAGGAGATCACCGTTCACCTCCACTGCGATCCTGACAAAGTCTCCCTGCACTCGGCCATCATGCGACGAGCCGGATTTCGAGAGCCATCTCAAAAGTGGTCTCAGTTACAGACTTTCCTTGAAGATCATCACAAAGAGAGAGGTTATCACTCACCTCCTCTGCGATCTTGACAAAGTCTCCCTGCACTCGGCCATCAGGCGACGAGCCGAGAAGAATGAACTGGCCACCCTGTTGAGAGGGGAGGGGGAGAGTAGAAAGTGGGGAGGGGATTGATCTATTCGAGCCTGCCTTGTTGAGTGGGTACGCAGAGAGAGACGAAAGTGGGGGAGGGGGTGAAGAGCGAGTTAATAGGGAGGTGTTTGCGAGATAGGGATAGGTGTACGGGATAGAGGGAGGGTGTGTGAGATGGAGATAGAGGACGGGGTGCGCGAGATAAGGAGAAAGAGTGAAAACAGGGAACGATGAAAGAATGGATCACGGATGAGAGTAAAGGCTCTTCATGGACGGAAACTGGGTACAGGCTGGTGACAAAGGTCCGAGACTTCATTCATGATTCTTCAAGGTCCGAAACTTTGTTGGCACTGTGACTAAGGTCCGAGACTCGCATATTCGTGTGTCTGGTAGATGTTACAGTGCCAACAAACTGATACAAATCATGAGCACCTTCACATCTCCGTGTGTCTTGTCAGATGATATAGATAACAAACCAATGGTAGTAAAGGCTCACATATTTGTGTGTCTGGTAGATAGCGTGGCGAATCAGATGAATGCCTTTCTGGGCCACCAGATGGGTCATGCACGTCGCGCACACACCAAGGGGGTAAATATTAATTCGACTAACAAAAACACATAAGGCTCACTTACGTATTTGTGTGTCTGGTAGATGGCATGGCGAATCAGGTGAATGCCCTTCTGGGCCACCAGACGGGTCACGCACACCACCAATGGGGACCGCTCCCCCGTGACCAGCTGAGTCAGCACTGAGTCAGCCACGGGCCCTGCTGACGCATCAGCTGCAAGCTTCTCTGCTGCCTCAGGTGTTATTTCAGGTGTAAGGCCCAGGCCCCGCTGCACGTAGTGCTTGCACAGCATCTTGCCTGCCAGGCTGGTGGCTGGAGGAAGGGAGACAGAGGAAAGACAGGGGGGAGGGGGGAGGGAGAGAGAAATGGAGGTGGACGAGGGGAAACGGTGTTTTATTTCCGGGGGGAACATGGAGGGTGGAGAGGGGAGGAGAGGGACAGAGGAGGAGGGAGTCAGCTTAGTGGCCAACGCCGTGCTGCATGTAGCGCCTGCACAGCATCTTGCCTGCCAGGCTGGTGGCTGGAGGGAAGGGGAATGAGCAAGAGGAATGACACAATGTGATAGGTAGGAACAAAGGCATGGATTGGGTCCTGAGCAAGGCACGAGGCATACATGACAGCTGAGCAGGCAAATGATTGGTCAGGCTTGACTCTCAAGTTGAAGGCATGGCAAGAAGCGTACGTGAGAAATGAATCGGCTAATGATTAGTCTCGCTTGACGTTAAGGGCAGGGCAAGGCAAGAGGCGTACGTGAGAAATGAGCGGGCAGATGGGGGTCAGTTTGCGGGTCCCACATCTCAGTGTCGATCCCGTTCAGCACACCAAAGTACCTGCCAGGCAGGGTAGAGTCATCCACCATAGAGTGGAAATGAGTCTTTTTATATATGTAAATGTGCGTGAATATTCATATAGATGGCAAGGGCAGCATCTCAGGGTTGTGGCCCACTGTGCAGTCATCCATGGCCTCAGAGAGGAGCCCAGAAGGAAAGGGAAGAGGGGAAGAGTCACATGCAAGTCACATCCCAATCATGCAGCAGATGCTTGTAGAGAACTCATCTAATGGCCTTGTGTGTGTCTCTCTCTCTTTTGTGCGGATGGGAATTCATGAAACCCTGCCCATCCCCCCTGCCTGCATGTCTTCGAAAAGTTCAGAAACATTTTTCTCAAAAGAGGATTACGTGTAGCCAATCTTAGACTGCATTGGTAAATTCCTTTCAAGATAATTCAAGCATTCCCTCATGCCTGCATTCCCCGCATTCCCGCATTGCTGACCTTCTCGGAGTCGAGATACGACTGCCCATCCAGACCACACATGTCCAGCTGCTCCCATCTGACGCACGGAAAGGCCGAGCCGCGGGGCAGAATACACAGGGTGGAGTGGAGCAACAAGGTGACTTATGAGTGGACAATCCGAGGGCCAGCACACACATACAGAATGGAGCAACGCACACAATGGTGAACCATGAATTTGCATTGCAGCCTTGCTCGACTTAACCACGCGTGAGCATCTCCCTTATTTGCTCACACGATGCTCCATATCGTGTGATCAGCAAGCATGCAATGAGCTTGGCTCCATAAGCCCATCTTCCCACCTTGCCTTTTGAGTCGACTCAAAAGTCATATCGTGTGATCAGCAAGCATGCAATGAGCTTGGCTCCATAAGCCCATCTCCCCACCTTGCCCATGCCGCTCACCTGCACTCCCCATGGTGCTCCATGTTGTGAATGGTGAGAATCAGGCGAGGCTTCTGCAATTCCAAGAGGGAGGGGGGTTGGGGGACGAAGGAAAGAGTGCAGGAAGCGAATGCAATAAAGCTCGCCCGGGTAACATCCGGTTGAGTTGGTGGTAGATGTCCCAGTAGAGCAGCGCCACCGATGTAAGTTTGCACGCCCGGTATGCAGCTGTGTGACCGCACACATTGGACTCACAGCTGCACTTCCTGAGGAGCCTCATGAAATGACGCACCTGCAGGTTGAGTTGGTGGTAGATGTCCCAGTAGAGAAGCGCCACTGCTGCTGTGTGCCACTCGTGGATGTGCAAAATGTCCGGCTGTGCTCCCGTCACCTGATAATGGGATACACACACAGGCACAGATACGCACAGCGCATTATAGCATGTTACAAAACAAGGCGGGCGAGAGAAATAGGAACCCGAGGCTGGCGCGGCTGAAGAGGTATGCCTCGAGCTCGTTGTAGGAGCCACCAACTGTACCTTATCCAGGAAGTAAGCTACGTCCCATAACCTGCAGGCAGCCTGCAGGACGAGACAAGACAGGCAGGATGCCCTCCCATGCCATACACGCACACAGCAGCCTCTCACCTGCAGGAACTGGAGGCTGGTGCGGCTGAAGAGGTACGCCTCGAGCTCGTTGTCGGAGCCCCATGCCATTCCTTACCCAGAAGAGACCTACTTCCCTCCCATAACCTGCAATAACTACCTGCTTACCTGCAGTACTCACCAAAATCCCACAGTGCCGTCTCACCTGAAGGAACTCAAGGCTGGCGCGGCTGAAGAAGAGGTACGCCTCGAGCTCGTTGTACGAGCCACCGTAGATGCGCCCTCCCCTGAAGAAGTGGTTCTCGGGCTTCAGCAGCACCACTGGTACGCCTGAGATCTCCCCACTAAACGCCTGCTCGGATGGAGGTGAAGGGAGTGAAAGGGCGCCTTCTGCTGAGTGGATTGGGGTGGTTGGAGAGCCTCTTGGCAACAGAGACCCTTGTGGTACTGTTCCACTGGATCTGGTTATGTCGTATGGACCCCCCAGTAACATGAACGGCTGGTGGGTGCGAGAGAGAGGGAGCAAGCAACAGGGATGGAGCTTAGCGTTCTTGCTTTCTGCTGAAACTCAACAATTGGAACGGATTTTGGCCCCATATCTCTGCTCCAACCCACCACCACAATCCAGGTCCAACTCACCTCGACGCCAGCTCAGTCGCGCTTGAAGTAGGGTCTCACTCCAACCAACTCACACCCACTCCAGGCCCTCCATTCCAATCCAACCAACGCACCTCCACACCAACCCAGTCGCCCTTGAAGTACGAGCCAAAGGAGCGCTTGAGCTGCAGGTTGTCGATCTGCTTGGTGTCCAAACACTCATAGAACGGCAGCATCACCTCCACCGTGTGCCCCCGCGCCAGACAGGCTCGGCCCAAACCTGCAGAGAAACACCAAGCCACGGACAATAACAAAGCCCTTTAGTCCATGCACGGAATGTCGAAACGCACGTAGAACGGCAGCATCACCTCCATTGTGTGGCCCCAAGCCAGACAGGCTCGGCCCAAACCTGCGGAGAAACACGAATGGAAGGGCAATGAAGAAGCACAACAGCAGAATCACCTGCAATGAGTGGCCCAGGGCCCCCGAGAAAGACAGGCTTCGCTTAAACCTGCAGACAATCTACTGACTGACCCGTTACAAGTTACAACGACTTCTACGTCATGCAACTGTAGTGAACGTATGACTCACCTGTTACCACATCCCCGAGGCCTCCAACTTTCGCCAGGGGAGCCATTTCAGCAGTCACGTGCACAATGTGAAGCCGCTCTGAGTCCCTCTCTCCCACCACTCCGTCCCCTGTTGATCCACTGCTCGCCACCTCTGCTGCTGCCACGTAGCCATCACTGGTTGGCCAGCGCATCCAGAACTGCGGCTCCTCCTGGGGGGACGGCCAGATAATCTGCTGGGCAGCGGCAGTGGCCGGCACAGCTTGTCTTTTCGGAGGGGACCCTACGGCCTCTTCTATAACTTCAGCGGATGCTGAGGCTGGTGATGCAGCTGTTGCCTGAAACGTGGGGAAGCGAGGGGAGAGGGGGGTAACGCAGTCCGTGATTCAATACGAATTGTGGTAAATCGTCTCTGCTCTGTGCTTCGCTTCCTATGCAACCACCTCTCACTCTCCTATGCAATACACACCAAATTATCCGGGTTCATTCATTCATTGCAGCTTCTACATCACTCACCACATCAGCGGCAACAGCAGGCGAGCCAGGGGCGCCGCCTCCCTGCATGGCGAGCGAGAGAGCCCCCTCCAGCTCCGCCAGGCGCGATTTCAGCCGCGCATTCTCCGCCACCATCGCCTGCAGCCGCTTCTGTGATTATGTGATCGCGGGAGCACGATTTCGAGTAAAAAGAGGGACAGTCGTGAGAAGAATAAGGGACGGAGAATGAGAGTAAGGTAAGGCTGCGGGTGCAATCCTTCCTCCTCTCTTCTTCTCGCGAATAAAAGGACGGTAGGGCTCGCATGGTTGGCCTTGAGAAATATGAGAATGCAAAAGAGCATGAAACGCTTAGTAGAATGACACAATTGCCTGAAATCTACCATAGAACCTGGATTTCAGTTTCTTGGTAAGGCAAAAAGCCAAGCCAGCCATCACTGATCCTTTTCACCACCTGACGTAAATCGTCATTCCCTGATTCACATCGCATCGCAGGAACAACGAGCCGTTGGTACTTATATTGACGTCATACCTTCTCTGCGTCGCTTGACGCGCCTGCGGTCGCGGCAACCTGCACAGAGGCAATTAAAGATTCGCCTTATTTCGAGAACATGACGACTTCCATCAGATTTGTACTATATGTTAAAGAAGCGGAGTATGCAAAATAAACAAAAATGAGCGCGCAACCGAATCTGCGGCTCGACGGAATCAGTCAACTTATGTGAGAAGAAAATGATAATAACAAACAAGCTTGGTTTATATTCAGGAACGAAGGAACTGATTACGGTGTACATGCCTGAAGGGCTCCATGTTTTTGGGAAGCGGCTTTGCGCGAAGTCCTTCGCGACTGCTGGCGAAGCGATTTCCCGGAAAATCCTGCCTGCATTCAGAATAGCATGTTACATTGGTAGGTTCATACACGACATTATACCTGGGGTCCAGGTTAGCTGGCACAACATGGACCTTAACAACTCGGCATTCGGAATTACAAAAAGGAGAATAAACGCAGGTCCGATGTATTCCTAATGAAAACATTGTACCTGAGCCGATTTCAGCTGCGTGCAAGAGGAGCCAACAGAGAGCTTCTCCTCCTTCAGGCACACAGCGGAGACAGCTGGCAACACGCCTGCAGAGGCGGATGTCACTGCCATGGCCGCCATTCTCGTGAGTGCTTTGTTACCGCTCCTCACACCTTTACTAGGACGAATGCGCCCTGACAGCAGAGCTAGAGCTCAGCCTAGACCGCAATATAGGTGAAGCCAATATTATGCTGGTCTCTGGAGGTAGAAATGTTATGTTTGGTTGGTCCCACACATTGACAATGACATTGGCTTTCTCGATATCTTCGAATTCTGCGAATTTACTCCCAGCTAAGCGACAGAATCGCTGCGTGCGAAGACCGAGTCTCGTGGGTAACTACTATCGAGAAGCAGGTGCGGGGGAAAGGTGGGTGGTCGGTAGCGCGTGTCACTGTCAATCAACAGAACAATGGAGGAAGGATAGCCCTATGATTTTTGCCACGTGGCAAGTGGTCACAAGAGAAGATGAAGGCGTGGAGGAGATTATCCAGCTCAACAGATCCCGCTCCACGTCACTGGCAAGTGGAGCTGACTCCCCAGTGTGTGAAGCCACAGCAAAGCACCAGACTATACCGCATATAAAACAAAGTAAATCATCATCCCAACAAAGGTTTTCTTATCACGAGCTGTACAAAGTGCTTACATATACCTTACCTGCAACTTACAATAGGCTTCCTTATCAAGTGTAAGCATGTTTGTACGTCAACTTAACAGCTGAGAAGCAAGCGAAGCTCAAACTGTACAATTCCTACCAATTTTACACATATAAGAGTTGGGAGACTGCCAGGAACCATTGCCTGTGGCTTTAGCGGCTGCCTGAGCCAGAAGCTCCTGCATCAGTCATGGTCCTCTTCTGAGCTCGCCTTGCCCTTCGGCCCAAACCTCCCTCCTTGGAAGCATTGTGACCCTTCTGAAATGCACCAGACGTGCGGGCAGGGGCAGGGCGCGCCTCTATGCGACCCCGGCGGACATAGCCATTCTCACCCCATCGCCTGTTGCCAATACGCAACGTGTTCTGGTAATAGTCCTCCTCGTCTTCTTCATAATCCTCGAGCTCTGGTGGGTGCTCTATTTCATTGTGGTATTCGAATTCCACAGGCGAGTACCATGGAGCACGGAGAAGCAAGCACACTGTTTCTTCAAGCATGAAATCACTCAAACTGCACAAACAAAAGGCAGGGGATGAGTAGGTGGAAACAAGAATAGAATGAAGCACTACGAGATGAATATGGGATTGTAACGAAATACGATAAGAATGCGTACAAATGAAAGTGAAAATCAGGGCGAGCGTACCTCCCATCAATATTTTTGTACAGGTAGAGAGATGAAAATGGCAAGCGACACTGGGGACACCAAGGATACGTCTTATAGGAAGCCCACTGAAGAATGCAGTTGATGCTGAGAGCCAAGGAAAGAAACTGCAATCGTGAGGAATCTGAAATCAAAGAAGTAGCAAACATCGCTGACAATAGCAAAAGCAAGAGTTAGCTGACCAGTATGAGTGATCGCATCCCTTGACGAAGCCAGTTTCTTGAAGAATAATGCCCTCGTGGCAGATTGCACACACGTTGCTTTCGTCCTGGACGGAAAACAGGTTCAATAAGAGTCACGTTTGACGCAAAAAGCATTTATGAAATCCGGCTCTTGAAATTCTCATAAGCGAGGAACATACCATGGTTCCAACAACGGTCTATCAACCTGGAAAGTTTCCAGAATAATTCAGGACTAGCGAACCTTGACTTTGGGACAGTCGGCAGAAGCACAGGAGTCTTCAGCTTCAACAGTAAGAGTTTCCAATTTCTGCTCGAGCCCGTCAATCTCGCTCGCGAAATCGTCCACAGCTGCCGTAGGAAATTCCATGGAGCTTGGGTGGGGATGTTAGGTACAATCCTTACCCCTGAACCACACTGTTTCGTCCCCCCGATTGTACCGAGTCGTTCCCCTGAACGTGGGGCTTCCTCCCCTACCGCGCTGCCTACACGTCACACATGACACGCTCTGCTCCCGGAGGGTAGCAGGCGGCTGTTGAAAAGCAGCAGCGAGGCTAGTCGGAACTACCTAGGTGAGGGTTGTCGCGCGTAGTACCGTACTAGGGTTAGGAGGAAGCACAGAGGGGATTGTCTGTTGGAATAATTTCTGTGGGGAATATGCGAGGGAATCCAAAAAGTGCAGTAAAGAGCGCATCGCTTACGTAGGTGCTAGAGTACCTGATGCTGCTGTAAGGACGTTTAGTTGTCCTAATTGTAATGATGTATGACATGGAAAATGAAAAATTCCGCAAGTGTAAAACACTTTCTAGAGATGCATATTGTGAAAGCCCAGATGCTTGTAATGAATTAAGGCAATTGCGGAAGAGCCAACCGCTCTTACTTGTGTACAAAACGAGGGTTGGACGCCATTTTGCCTTCACGTCTTCATTTCGGAACTTCAAAAGTTCTACATCCCCACCCACCCACCCTCTCAATGGTTGCATCTTATGTATATTATAGTTGGACGATAATGTTGTAATTTCCCATTGACATGGAGCACATTGCCATTGCAAGTACAAGAAGCAAGATGTCAAATGTTATAGTCTTAGTGATGTGTGTCATACAGGGTACAACAGTTAGGGTTAGGTTTATGTACCCCAACCAACCTTGGTGAAAACACCATTTCGTTCTTGACATGATATCACCTAGGTTAGGATCCTGTGGGATCCCGTTCATCTCGTTCACGTCCGTAGCGCCCGAGCCTGTTCCGTACTCTAGTGTCCGTTACGCCCGCACTGTCCCCTAGTGCCTATCGCGCTCGTCTCTCTCATGCCCTAGCGCTCGCTGCGCCTGCCGACGCGTCGCCCCTGCTGTCCCGTCCCGTCGCGTTGCCCCTGCTGTCCCGTCGCGTCGCCCCTGCTGTCCCGTCGCGTCGCCCCTGCTGTCCCGTCGCGTCGCCCCTGCTGTCCCGTCGCGTCACGCTGTCCCGTCGCGTCACGTCCGTCCCGTCCCGTCGCATGCGCCGCGCCTGTCTGTCACGCCACGTCCCGCCGTCCGTCCCGTCCTGTCCCGCCGCGTCGCGCTGTCCGTCCGCGTCGCGCTGCCCGTCCCGTCCCGCCGTGTCGCGCATGCCCGTCTTGTCCGGTCGCGTCGCGCTGCCCGTCCCGTCACGTCGCGCTACCCCTGCCCGTAGCGCCGCGCCCTTCTAGTCCCGCCGTGTCGCGCCCTACCCTGCGTCCCGTAGCGCCCTAGGCCTCCAAATCTGCCATTCACGCCCTACTAAGCAGCTCTAAGTGTTTAGGGTTTCGGCAGCAGCACTTCCCACCTCTTTGTCAGAACATTATAGCTTATGCTGTTGTGTAGGCTATAGTTGCCGCCCAGCAGCCGAGCTGCCCAGCAGCCGAGCCGCCCAGCAGCCGAGCCGCCCAGCGGCCGCGCCGCCCAGCAGCCGAGCCGCCCAGCAGCCGAGCCGCCCAGCAGTGGGGCCGCCGAGCCGCCGGGCCGCCGCGCCGCCCTCCTTCAGGGCCACCCGACCTGCCCAGTCTGGTGAGCACAGCGCCTTTTCACTGCACTGTCCTCACCCCACTGTTTGCGCTACTAGTCGTCTAGGGTCATGGCTACCCCTAGTGTTCTCGCCTTTGACGCTGAGGGTAGGGCCATTGACTTTGAGGTCTGGGTAGATGACCTGCAGCTGTTCTTACAGTGCGATAGGGCAGACGGCCTCTCTCTCTTTGACCTCACCTCTGGCACCTCCACTGCCCCTGCTGCTGATGCTGACGCCACTGTTCGCTCCCAGTGGGCCACGCGCGACGCTGCTGCACGTCTTGCTGTGCGTCGCCACCTCCCTACCTCCGAGCGTGCGCACTTTAGTCAGTACAAGAGTGCTCAGACCTTGTACGACGCTGTAGTTGCGCGTTACTCCTCCCCTGCCACTGCTGCACTGAGCCGTCTCATGCTACCGTACCTCTTTCCTGATCTTACTGCCTTTCCCAAAGTCACTGACCTCATTACGCACCTCCGCACTAGTGACACTCGCTACCGCGCTGCACTCCCTCCTGACTTCTGCGCCAGGAACCCCCCCCCCATGTACATCACTCTTTACTACATAGTCACTCGCCTTCCTGACTCCCTTCGCGTAGTCAGGGACCACTTTCTCTCTGTCTGTCCCACCACTCTCACTGTTGACCTCCTCGAGAAGTCCCTCCTAGCGGCCGAGAAGAGCATAGTCGCTGTAGGGGCCTCTCGTGGTGACCCGCGCACCCCCATCTTTGAGGGGTGTTCCCCCTCCCCCCTTCTGCCCTCTGTTGCCTCTGCTGCTGCGGCCGACCTCCTTGTTCTTGAGTCGGTCGGTGCGGCGTCTGCCCCTAGCGGGAGACGCCGCTCTGGCAAGGGCAAGGGGGGCAAGGGCGCTGGAGGAGCGAGCGGGGGCGGTGGAGGTGGAGGTGGCGGCAGTTGGGGGAGTGGGGGTGGCGGTGGGAGTGGAGGTGGGGGTGGAGGGGTCGGTGGCGGCAGTGGAGGTGGAGGTGGCGGCGGCGGTGGCGGTGGGAGCGGAGGTGGTGGAGGTGGCGGAGGTGGAGGCGGCGGCGGAGGCGGAGGCGGCGGCAGTAGCGGAGGCGGCGGAGGCGTCGGAGGCGGCGGGGGTGGCGGTGGTGCTGGTCGCGGGTCTTCGCAGAGGAGTGGCTCCGGTGGTGGCTCGCGCCAGCAGCAGCAGCGTGGTCGTGACACCCTGTCCCCTCAGCAGCTTCGTGAGTGGTACACTGCGCGTCAGCGGGGTGGGGGTTTTGGTCCGTGCTCCTACGTTTTGCGCACCGGCGACCGTGCGGGTGAGCAGTGTGGGGGTCCCCACCCCACCCAGCGCTGCTTTGGCCGCCTGACGGACGCGTGGCGTCACCAGTTCCCGGAGGCCTCCGAGATCCCTCGCTGGGGCGAGCTGTCTAGGGCGGGTGTTGCCATCTATGATCTTGACTTTGATGCTATTCTCTCTGCCATGTATGCTGTGTCTATTAGTGATGAGGGTGACTGTTACCGGTGTTTCCCGCCCGATCCGGGCATTGAGACTGCTGCTCTAGGTCCTGGTGAGGCTGCTGCCCTAGGTGCTTGCGACGCTGCTGCTCTAGGTGCTCGTGTGTCTGCGTCCTCAGGTACTGGCGAGTCTGCGCTCTCAGGTACTGCGTCGGCTTCGGCCTCCCTCACCTTCACCCTTGACTCTGGGGCGTCTCGCTCCTTCTTTCGGGACCGCACCACACTCACACCGCTGAGTCGACCGGTTGCAGTGTCTCTGGCTGACCCCTCTGGGGGTCCTGTCCTGTCTCGCTTCTCCACAGTCCTCCCGTGTCCGGCGGCTCCCTCTGGCACCCTGTCTGGTCTCTACCTCCCCTCGTTCTCTACGAACCTGGTGAGTGGTGCTGACCTACAGGATGCGGGGGTCCACCAGTTCACTCCTGCACGTCAGAGAGTGACCCACTGTACAGAGGCTGGCACAGGCCGACACCTGGCTACGTTCACCCGTCAGCCGGGGTCGAGCCTGTACACTCTGACCACTGCGTCTCCTCCAGCTGCTGAGTCTGGTAGGGTAGTTACGTCGGGTCAGGTGTTTGCTGCGGCGTCCAGGTCTGGTCCTGAGTCTGCCCCCTGTTCGTGTCGTCTCCTGTCTCACGAGACTCTCCTCTGGCACCACCGCCTTGGCCACCCCTCTCTGCTTCGGCTCAGAGGTATGGCCTCCCGTCTTCTTGTGTCCGGTCTCCCCCGGTCCCTCCCTCCCCTTCCTCAGGGCCCTGGCCCTGCCTGTGTCCCCTGTGTCGAGGGGCGCCTGCGTGCTGCCCCTCACTCCTCCCAGTTTCCTCCGACAGAGGCCCCGTTGCAGACACTTCACATGGACGTGTGGGGCCCAGCCCGCGTCCGTGGACAGGGTCACGAGCGCTACTTCCTGCTCGTTGTTGACGACTACTCGCGTTACACCACAGTCTTCCCCTTGCGCAGCAAGGGTGATGTCACTGAGGTGCTGATCGACTGGATCCGCGCAGCTCGTCTCCAGCTCAGGCAGAGCTTCGGCTCGGACTTTCCTGTTCTGCGTCTGCACTCGGACAGAGGCGGAGAGTTCTCCTCTGGCCTTCTGCGTGCCTACTGTCGTGCACGGTGCATCCGTCAGACCTTCACGCTTCCGGACTCACCGCAGCAAAATGGGATTGCTGAGCGCCGCATTGGCATGGTCATGGACGTCGCTCGTACGTCCATGATGCATGCGGCTGCCCCCCATTTTCTGTGGCCGTTTGCGGTTCGGTACGCGGCGCATCAGATCAACCTCCACCCCAGGGTCTCCAGGCCGGAGACCTCCCCAGCCCTGCTGTGGACGGGGAAGGTTGGCGATGCGTCGGCGTTCCGGGTCTGGGGATCTCGGGCGTTTGTCCGCGACCTGTCTGCGGACAAACTATCCCCTCGTGCTGCTCCTTGCGTCTTCCTGGGGTTCCCCCCTGACGCGCCTGGGTGGCAGTTTTACCACCCCACCTCTCGCCGTGTTCTGTCCTCCCAGGACGTCACGTTTGACGAGTCGGTCCCCTACTACCGCCTCTTCCCCTACCGCACTCCGTCCCTCCCCCCACCCCCACTCTTCCTGGTACCAGGTCCCCCCCAGGTAGACCCCCTCCCCCCTCAGGGTCCTGCCCCTTCAGGTGTGTCCCAGGTAGACGCGGTCGAGCCTGTCGAGGTCACTGGTGACTCTGGTGCTGCTGAGGGTGCTGAGGCTGGGGGTGCTGTACCTGGGGGTGCGGAGCCTAGGGGTGCTGGGCCTGGGGGTGCTACGTCTGGGGGTGCTGAGCCTAGGGGTGCTGAGCCTGGGGGTGCTGAGCCTGGGGGTGCTACGTCTGGGGGTGCTGAGCCTAGGGGTGCTACGCC